AGACTATTTGAACTCAGGAGTTTGAGACCAGCCCAAGCAAGAGCAAGACCCCATCTCTAAGAAAATAGGCGGGCATCGTGGTGGGCACATGTAATTCCAGCTACTGGGGAGCCTGAGGCAAGAGGATCATTAGCCCCCAGAGGTTGCTGTGAGCTATGACACCATAGCACTCTACCAAGGGTAACAAAGTGAGACTGTCTCAAAAAAAATAAATAAATAAAAATGAAATGTTAGTTTCTTCCCCAACCTCCCTGTATCCATAACAACAAATAAGAATGAAAATTTGCACTTTTTTGTACATTTTCCAACATACTCATCATTTGCTGGGTTCCTTAGCCTTGAGGTATAAGCAAATGCCACAGTAAAATTAAACTTCTAATTGGAGTTCAGAATCATGATGAAGGGAAATTTCAAGGTTTCAATTAATGCCATACCCATCCTTAAACTTTTATAACTTTTAATAAGCATTTAAGAACTGAAAAATTAAATTATAGTATTCTCTTTCATCTTCTACAATATTTTTCCCGGTAAATTTAACAGCAAGAGCTCATTTTTATCCTATTTTTAAAAATATAATCTCACTTCAATAATGAGCAAGATTTGTGTTCATTAGATAATTCTATGGCTCTTTAAAACATGTTAATATAATGTCAATAATTTACAAAGCTTGCTGATAGTATACAAGTGTTTATACTATTCTTTTATGTTTATATACATTAGAAAAATTCTATAATAGGAGAAATATTTATAGTGCATTTGCCAAAGTAAAGTCAAATTTCCTTCTGTTCAGAGTTCAAAAAAGTCAAAGAAAGAATACAAAAGGAAAATAAAAACAACATTCAACTTAACATCATACCCCTATTAATTTAACATATTGCAATACGATATCAATATCCTATTCAAAATATGCCCATGGATCAAATGTATATACAATACACTTCTTCCCAAAGAACTCTGAAGTGCTTTCTATGTGGTAGACTGCAATTCTTCTTTACAGCATCTCCGAAGGCTTTCAAAGAGTTAGATGATATAAGTAGAATGAGTCATAGAAAAGTTTAATTAGACAGCCTGTGGTCATAAAAGAAACCAGAACTGAGAAAATTTCAGGATCACAGAATTTCTGAATTGAAAGTGGTCTAGTTAAACCCTTTATCCAATGCTGAAAACCTAACGCACCACTCCTTGAAGTGGACAGTCAGCTTCTGCACGAACAGTTCTTCCTGATTGTTTTATGATTACCAGAGAAAAGACCTTCAGAGAGAAGCTATTTTCTTAAGTAAACAAAATTGAGAACATTTTTAGTCTACCCACTTGAGAGGAAAAAAAATCAAGCAAGTCTTATGATATTGAAGTTTGGAACGCACTGTCATTACTTGCTAAGATGCTGGACAACAGAACAGCCCTTTAGTGAACCACATTTCTCATTAAATGTATCAGAAAAGCTGATAGCATAGTCTGGATTTTCTAGTTTCATGAAGGACGGGTGGTGGAGACCCAAATCTATTTTCTGAAAAAAAATATTTTATGCTTTTTCTAAAAGCTACTAGAGATAGAATTGTCAACCTGAATTACTTATTTAGTTATTGAAACAAACTCTTAAGATGAAAGTGCTATGTGTTATTATTCCTAATAATAACTTCATTCTCATTCCCTTAAGCACACCCCCATCTCTCTTTCCACCTACCCTGATCCACTTAATGGGAATGTCAATACAGAGAAGATATGAAAAGAATAAGATAAGCTTCCCACAAACTCCAAAATGAGTAGTACATGCTGCCAATAATCCTTCAGATTATCATCATTTTAAAATGTTTATTTATTTCCTAGTTTTAAAATTTTGAAGCTCATTTATCAAATTCATTTTCATTTATGCTTTACTAACATGCCTTAGTGGGCAGAAAGCATGAAAGCTCAGGAAAATTATTAAACTTTTCCATGACTCAGTTCCATCCTCAGTACTGAGATGACAGTACCCTGATCTAACTCCCTATAGAGATAAGAGGATTTTTTAAAAGTACTTTGAGCACTAAGCTCTGGGAAAGAAAAATTAACACATAGCCAATCTTTAGAGATCTATGGTTAAATAAAACAAGAATAGTATATTACATATCCAAAAATTTGCAGATAACCCAAGATATTTCAAACAACAGTTCAACACCCTCTAGTGGGATAGTTCACATACAATATTAATAAGCTACAAGCCTAATGGCTTGAAATCCTTTCTGCAAACCGCCCCCCCTCCCCATGATAAATATGATGAGGATTGGCAAAGCCATCCAAGGTAAGAAGTAGGAAGGAGGAGGAAAGGGAGAGGAAAGAATCCTGGATATTCAACAAACAATATCACCAGTCCCAATTAATGAGCTATATTGCTACTTTTAAAACACTACTGTGATCCTACTGATTTTTTATAAATGATCTCTATTTTCATTGAGTCAAAAAGTGTATCACATAGTTAACAGTGCCATCCATGGGGGAAAAAAATCTTTAAACTCTCTGATTGGAATTGTTCATTTATTCTCAGCACTATTTCTGATTTTTCTAAAATGGGAGACTAGCATGTATTAATATAAAAGAACTGCCAAAATTCTGTGCCCAGAAAACATCTTATGGTTCACTTGAAAGCAATAAAGTGTTAACAGCAATAAATATTATGCTTAAATATTATTTTCACCAATAGGATGTTATAAAATATGTTTTTAAATACTTGGTAAAAGTATATCTTCCTTCCCAGTGTAAAAATCCAATCTTTAAAAAATTGCATTTGGATACCAAATTATAAAATCATTTTACTTTAGTATGAAATATTGATATCTCACTCTCTCACTCTCTCTTTCTCTCTCTCTCTTTCTCTCTCACACACACACACACACAAATATAGAAAGAGGCAAATGAAGATAAAGACAATAACATTTCATGAAGGAATTAGCTCTTTATGTAATTAAAAAATTCTGAGAAGTCATAATTCATGTATTTACTAAAACATTAACTACTACTTCCAAGGACAACATTTTGTTAAACTCACCAGACAAAGTATTTTGATTGGTAATGAATCTAAGCCATTAATTGCTGTGATCTTGTTGTTGGCCAAACTAAGGAGAGTTAGACTGCTGCACATCTCTAGGCCAATGATTTCTTCTATCTTATTGCCTATATACCACAACTACGTTTAAGGAAAATGTTATTAAAAGCATTTTGATGAAAAAAAAGAATCACCATTAAATCATCACTAGACAAACCAGACCAGAGCTTAAATACAGAAGTGTTATATATCCAATTCAAGATAAACATTAATCCTGAAACATATTTTTTCACATAGAATATCATATTTCATAAGAAAAAATTTGTTTAAGGTATAGTTTTTGAGTGTTCCTGGTTGTGTTTGAATTCATAAGTGACTCACATAATCTCTAAAGAACCACAGTGGATCACAGCTGCATCCTTGGCCTTGTATTATTTTCTCATGATTAGTTGATGGTCTCCATGAGAAACTCATGTGCTTTCCCACAGGTGGGACTTCAGAACACAGGGTTGCCCTGCAGAGGCAGCATGTGCCAAGCTTTATCATCCTGGTAACTAGGATAACAGCCTGGAAAATGCCAACTGTAGCAAATGACCAATACACTGTTATATGTAGTAGAGGGGAACAGTACTTTCTTCCTATCTATATTGCCTTTTCTTCTCTCTTTAAAATAAACTAGGTTTAAACTCCAACTTAATTTCCTCATCTGTTGATTAAGTTTTCATTCATTGCTAACATTTTATCCTCTCTTCTGTGTTCCATTCATGTAGCCACAATCTCAAAGCCACCCATTCTACTCATCCTCCTCTCACCATGACCAGTTTCCAGAATTTAATTTCATTTGGACATCAAAGCTCAGTTTTCCCTCTCCTGTGACCTATGACATCATCCCTTCTCAGCCACTCATAATCAGCAAGGCATCCAATCAATCACCAAGACCTGGCATGTTTTGCTTTAAACATCTCCTTAATTATTCGCTTCCTTTACATTCACTTGTATTCATTAACATACTACTGCTTCCTGCCCTCACATGATACACTACATGTATAGTCAGGTTAATTTTTTTCAAAATATTGATTAGATATCATGTTTCAATTAAAAAATTCTCTTAGGATGAATTTCTTGCTCTAGCATTTCAGGCCCTTTCCTATAAGCAAAACCTATTTTTCCAATTCCACCCCTATTATAATCCAGTGAGAATTCTCTATTTCTACTAGGTCAGTCCTGTCAGTAATTCTGGAAGGTACCAGGAACTTTCTTACTTGGTAGTGTGTCATTTACTCCTTTCCAAACCACACCCATTCTTCAAGACTTAACTCCAAATTCTACTTTTTTCTTTTCTCTTTTCTTTTTAACATTCACATTAAACCAATATCTTAAATATTTCTCTTTAACAGATAACTGGCATTTACTCATTATTTCCTTTTTATTACTTTTTAATTATATGAAAAAGTGATAGGCTGGGAGAATGCTGGGAGAATGGAGACCGAAGACCCCATTCTTGACAAAGGAAAGCATCCCCAGAAAAAAAGGAAAACTAAAAAGTAAGCTGAGTGAGTCAGAACAAGGAAAAGTCAGCTAGTTTACATTTAAACTACCCATTGCTAGCAAGCTTCTTGCCTTTTCTGAAATTCTAGCCTGTTGGGGGATACAGCTTACAAACACCCTGCTGGGTCTGTGAGCACCCTGAGGAGAATAGTGGTCATAGAAGAGGCTATGACAATGTTCTAGAAAAGATACATCTTCTAGGGTGTTTCCTGTCCATTAAACAGGCAAAGCAGATACCCACTGTGGACATTTGCATTTGCCTGGGGCAGAGACAAAGGGAGTAGCTTGAGCTCTGAAATATGGGCAGAAGGGCTTATATCCCTTATAGCAGAGGAAAATCCTCCGTGGTGGTGATGGGAGAGAAATGCTTCCCTCCCCTGATCCCTCGGGGAGATTAACACTGGTGGAGTTTTACTCCACAGAGAACTAGCAGAGCTTAACACTTCCCTAGAAATCTGTGTGTGTGACCTCAAGCAGGAGGCTCTCCCAATACAAGGCTCAGATTTCAGATTTCTGAAGGCTACCCTTAAGGCTAATAATAATAATAGAAGCTGATATGATCAATCCAAGAAACTGCTGATGTCTTTGTTCCCTCACTCATCTTACTCTCTGGGCAAATAGACGTCAATAAAATCAGAGTGGAGCAAAGACTCTGGGCCATTGCCAGAATCCCATGATGGGCAATGGACCCCTGAGTTCCCACTTTTAATTCTACTCTATGTCTATAGTCTTTCTTTACCATTGCTCCTAACTTTATATTTCTTCAGTCGATGGCCGCCAGTTTCCACAGGTCTCAGCAGATGCTGCGCTCAGGGCAGGACCCCAACAGGAGAATATATTCACTATTCATAATGTATGTAGCAGACAAAGGATTACTACCTATAATACATTAAAAAATCAATCAATCGATCAAAAATGACAACCCAACAGAAAATGGATAAATATTATATTCCAGGCAATTTGCAGAAGAGCAAATCCTAGTGGCTAATAAACATATGAAAAGATGTTCCTTTACAGATATAGTCAGAAAAAATATAAATTAATATAATCTGCCATTCTTTATCCATCAGCTTAGCAAACATTTTAAAGTACAAAGTTTTGAAGAATATTTACTTTTATACTACTGAGTGAGAGATTTCATTATGATATAGCCACTTCAGAGACATATGGCAATGTCCATCATAGCTGTAAATATGCCACAGCAATTCCACTTCTTGGTCTCCACTCTAAACAAACCATTCCTTCTTCTACGAAGCCTTTTCTGGTCAACTGATGACCTCTAGCTCTCTCCCCCTCCATTAATCAAAGAATTTTTTAAAAATTTAAGGAAGGAATGGATTGTAAATATCACAAAACATGTATTTTGTTTCATGATTATTTGTAATCATTCTAAGTCTATTATTTGCTAGATTTTTCATTTGTAAAATGGGGGTAGCACCAGGTTGCTCTTAGGGTCAAAAGTTAGGCTACAGGGAAAAAATTAGAAAATGGGTGTCAATGAGCTACACAAACTATAAATCACTTCACAATTATAAGGCACTGATAACATTACTACATTAACAATTAGGTGAGGCTGGGAAATCATGCCATCTACCTCTTGGCCAACAGCATGGAAATGGAACATTCAAGGTTGGGATCAAATCTAAAAAGACCCAGGCCAGAGAGAGAAGTAAATAAGGATACTAGACAAAAACACACTGCTAAATGTCCCAGAAATTCCTAAGTTGTCCTCATTGTTTTCAGATTCAATCTCTAGACTGAAGCACAGTTCTGTTTATGGTCAATATTCATTTTCAAATCTATTTCCATAATGTTCCCAGTCAGAATAGCCCTACAAATAAACTGACATTTATGCTCACAAATGCCCCTTTCTGCTTCCATTGCGGGGGGAGGGCTGTTAAATAATTATTCTGGAACTAGAACAAAGACTAGATCTTTGTTGTTAGAGATTCTAACGCAAAACAAGTGTGAATATTGGAAATAGGAGATTAAACTACCTCACACAGACATCGATGATATAAAATACTCTTGGATCAGGCAATCTTTGGCAACAAAAACGAGGCAAGCAAAACCTCACGTGGCCATCTGTCTCAGTTTAGGCAGGAGAGAAACAGTCCTTAAGTCCTATTTCAGGAGCATTAGTGTCCTAGAAGCTCTATTCCAGCTGAGATGGAGACACTTGGAATGGTGGCAGAGTGAACAGATGCTTGCGGAGAGCTGGGACAGGAAGCATTCCCATGGAAAGCAGGTGAGGATCAGAAAACTAGAAAACAGGGTTCCTGAAAATAGGAAGAGATTACATCAAGAATCGAAAAGAAATGCTTGTTTATTGTGTCTACACAAATTTTCCAAGACATTAGAGGTTAACCATAGTTCTCTGGGTACATCTAGCTTTGACTACTACAGCTAGCCATGTTTTCTGAAATTAGCATTGCAAGGACAAAAAGGAGGAGGAACACGGGTGCCTCACTGCAGTCACAGCTGCTTTTTCTGCAGACACCACGTCACTCCCAGTGCTGAAGCAAAGGGTCAGGGATTGACTGAACATCTCTGTTGAGAAATGTGCTCGTTTCAGATAAAACTGTCTCCTACTTCCTAATTTTTCACTTCCCTTTAAGTTTCAAGGAATTTCAGGTACTATAGATTAATCTGGCTCTTGAGTAGACTACTTTTTATGGTGACACAACAGCTTTTTCCCCCTAATTGCTCCCACAGTCACATTACGTGTTCCTGGCAGCAGTGCTGACAAGTTGATGTGCAGACGTGGACCATAAAATACTGAGTTCACAGCTGGCCTTCAAGAATACCTTTATCTCCCCTGTCTCCCGTTTTCTCAAGAACCTTCATGAAACATTATTTGCTTTCCCTCCTAACATTATTCTTTCCTATTCTTGTGTAGGTTTGGGGACTTCCTGATAAGAAGAAATATAACCTGATAAATCACTAAACTCTGACAATGAATTAGCTTACCAGGTTAATATTCTTAGATATATTTGAATTTTAAAGGAGCACTAACCGGAAAAAGAGACTCAAAGAAGTAAAAAAAATCATCCTGTTGCATTCCAGCTCTAAACTTTTACAATTCTGTGAATAAATCTTTTACAGTGGAACTTTAGATCCTTGAATGAAACTGAATGAAGGAACCCTGTGGCACTTAAGTGTAACTTTACAACATGGGAAAAGCCCAACAGTATATTTTTATATTTTGGCAATGCTGTCAGTAGTTCACAATGCTTGACATGAATTATTCACTAGCTCAGGATTTGATCTTACTCATTTGTCTACAATCGTAAAATATGGTTCAGGTGTATAGAAAATAGTTACTAAGAAATAAGTAGGAAATCCATCACAATTTTCTTAGAGGAGAGAGCTGCAATGATGGCTTTAATCAGAACCAATCCTGAAAGATCTATATCACCTTACCAGTGAAAAATGTTCTTCACCATAGGAGGGAATCTCTCTAAGAAATGAAATGTGCATACAGTTTAAATGGCCATGCAATAACAGTACTAATTACTCAATGAATTACAGCATGGCAAAAAAACCCAAAAGGCTTGAGGAAACTAGTCTCAGTTCAACCATTTACCAAATAATCCCTGGCAAACTGCTGACCCTCTGTGGGTTTAAAATATGTAAAATAATGGTTAGCACTAGATGATCTCTAAAATCCTGCCTGGATTCAAAATTCTTTGAACTTTTTTATTTCATTATAATAAAATAAATTCTAATGAGCAACCAATGTTTATAGGTAAAAAATCAACTGCATTCTTTCTTAAGAATAAATACATTTACTTAACCTTGGCAAAGTTTATCCTCTTAGAATTTAGGGTAATTATCAATTAATCATCAATTATCTACATGTGAAAAGACAAAATAGCATAATGAGATCAAATTAAAAACTGTTATCTTAATTCATTCTGGGGCATTAATATAATCTATTACAATCACATTATTGTCGTTATTAGCTTGATTAACTGACTTGTTTATGGTTTAGATAATTGTTTTCAAAGAGATTAATTTAGATTTCAGATTTTTAAATTTTTACATAGAACTGGGTTAAACTTAATTGATTCTCATTGGCCAATGTATGGCACACTTTTCTTTACTCTTTAAAATATAAAAAATGTTCTTGAAACGACTCCCTAACCCAGCCCAAGAAGTAGAACATTAGCAAAAACGTAAATCTCTCTCTGTACATGTCTCCTGCAGAATCCTGTGTCTCCCTCTCAGAGATCACCACTCTGCTTAGTTGTCTCTTTCCTGCTCCCTTCCTCCTTTATACTTAAATTACATTTACTTTCATTAAACTTCATCCTTACTGCAGTAAGTAGATATGCTTCACTCATTTCACTACTATACGATACCCTGTTTTGTGAGTATACCATAATGTATGCTTTCTCGTATCAATGAGCATTTGGGATGTTCCAATTTTTTTTGTTATTACAAGGAATACTGCTGTAAACATTCTTATAGAAGCCTCAGTCACATATATGCTTAACTTTCCATATGTAGGAATAAAAGTACTAGGTCATAGTGAAACTGGATGTTCAACTTTACAAGATATAAGATAAAATTGTTTTCCAGGGTGTCTAGACAAATCTCATACCCACAAACAGAGTAAAAAGCAATCCGCTGGGTCTACTTGTTCTCCATACTTGGTATTTTCGGTTTCTTAAGTTTTGTCAGATGACTGGATCTAATAAAGTATCTCACTCATGTAGCCTTAACTTGAATTTCTCTGAAAACAAATGAAGCTGATGTCGCTGCCTATGCCTATTAGTTTAACCTGATTTATTTTCCATAAAATGACTTTTCACATCATTTATTGCATCCATATTCTTATCAAGGGGCATAGGATATATTTCTCTTTAGTTAGGTCTTCAATACTCTTCCACAAAGCGTTATTACGTTGCCCCACAGGTCTTACTCACCTCTGATCAGACTCATTTGTATTGCTCTTGTCAATAGTGTCTCTTTTTAAAGTTGTGTTTTCTAAATCATTAGGAATCAAGAAGGGCGGTGGAGGGGAGAAAGAAAGGGGTAAATCCTACCTAACAGGTACAATGACCAACATTCTGGTGATGGGCACAGTTATATCCTTGCCTAAAGCAGCATAAAGCTATTTTTTAAATTAAAAAATGAAGTTGTGTTTTCTAACCGCTTGCCTCTGGTACAGAGAAATGCTATGATTTCTACTTATTGAAGTCATATACAGCTACCTTGTTGAATTCTGAAAACTATTATTTCTAGTAGTTAACTGCAAATTCTTTTTTATCTTCTCTGTAGTGAAATAGTCATTTGCAAAGATTAACTTTTATTTTCTCCTTACAAATCTTTAGACCTCAAATTTTTTTCTCCCATTTCATGGCGTTGGCTAATACCTCCAAGACAATGATGCATAGAAGTAGCAATGGTGAGCATCCTTAACTTGTTCCCAACTTTAAAGGAGAATGCTTAGAACATGTTCCCAGTTAGGATAAAAGTTTGCTTCAAATATTTTTGTAGATACACTTTATCACGTTGTGAAAATTACCTATTAATAATTTACTGAGCATTTTATTCTG